CCCACACACCTTTGAGCACGTCAATGTAATTTAGATAACGTAGAAAATCTTTTCGTTGTTGAGATCTGATGAGTATAATGAAACACGAAAAAAAAACCAATTCAAAACACTTTGAATAATCAGTTTTCTCAAATACTTACGAAATTTGGATTCATATACCAAGTATGCAAAATTAAGTACCATCATTCATACATGTAATAAATATCTATGAAAAATTAAATTGGACCTATTTAATTTAAAATGATTCAAATCGTATACATTTTAAATCACATTAAAAGCATCTCATTTAAATAAAAATATGTATTTACAATAAAATCCATTATGTGTAAGTATCTTGTTTGTGATACACATTTTTTATTTTTTTCAAACATTTATGAAGTGCTAACGAATTAACTATTTTTAAATCCATGTTTAAATCCAATTAAATTTTTAGAAATATTTTCTACCACGGATACTGTTTTACCACTATTTTTGCAATAATTTTAGTTTTGTTATTACAGTAAAAATATGTTTTAAGTGGATTTGGTTTACGCCAAGTTTTTAAGATTTCTTACTCGAAATAAGTATGCGACTATGGGTAGTTTTTGTTTATTTCCGTAACTAGTCAATAGTCGCTACATCTGAAACTTCACGTACGTAGTTACTCATACTCGAGTCCAGTGGCGTAGCCAAGGGGGAGGCTAAGGGGGCTATAGCCCCCCACATGGGCCGTTTTTATATGTATAATGTATCTTGACTATTTAATAGAATCAATGGATGCTCGTTTTAATCAAAGGCTTATTGATGTTATGCCACTTGAAGGACTTATTCCGGTCAATTTAAATATGTATGACGATAAAGATATTATAAAAGCTGCTAAAATATATGTCCAAGATCTCCATGATGATACCTCATCTACAATCAGAGTTGACCTGTTCATATGGAGGCAACAATGGAGTCAAAATACTATTCCAAAACCGAATTCTGCTCTTGATTCACTCTCTCATCGCACCAATCTTCGACCTAACATTAAAATACTTTTACAATTATTCGCCACGTTACCAATTATCTCTTTCACTCCGGAAAGAACGTTTTCAGCACTTAATCGCTTAAAAATTTTTTTAAGAAGCACCATGTCGGAAAACAGACTGAATGGGTTAGCTATGACTAATATAAATAAAAAAGAGCAATTTTATGAAAGTGAAATAATAACTGAATTTGCCAGAAATTCGCCTAAGAGGATGCAGCTGTCAGAGGGGAGCAAGTTTACTAGTGACTGAACACTGAAACTAAAATTATTATTATTATTATAAATTATATATTAATAAATATTTTTAAAACTATACTAAAATGCTTGAATTACGTTTAGAAACTTGGTGGTAGATGGTGG